AGGTCTCTCAATTGGGTTGTAATGCACATGGGCCAAACCACACTAAAAGATCGAATCCAATCAACTAGCTAGTCTAACCTATGGCCTTATAAACCCATATGTTTCTCTCTTATTTTTCAATGTGAACTCTTAACACTCCTATAATGGGTAAACAGGGGAAATCTAACTGGACTTTGCGATACAATGGCCAGAAACGGTCACAAAATAGATAGGGAATTTCACTTTTCACCCCATTAAGAACCTAGAGTAAAAGTGTCTTTTCCAACCCTGTTTCTTTATCCATTAATTAACGTGAAAAGAATCAGAAATTGGACCACTTTAATTGGCCAACTCTTTCAAACAAGGAATACTAAGCACAAGTGAAAACAAATAATCCATATAAAGAAATAACATTTCTAACAGGCATATAATCAAAAGGGAAAGGGACAGTTACCAAAAGTCCAGTCAGTGCTGCCAGTTTTGACAATACATTAGGGAGTTTTGTAAGTGTCAAAGTTGTGAAAATGGAACCTTCTGAAAGACTAGTGTTGATCTCCCGGTATATTCTTTCAACCCTGATAAGAAGAGAGCACAGAAGAAATAACCTCAGAACTTGAAATACTCTCTCAAATTAGATGGTAAATAATGACAGAGATTTGACTCATGGAATTGGTCTGAAATGGAAAAGTACTCTCAAGAATAAGCCTATTCCACATTTCCACCGTATGTTAACTCTTTACTATAAGAGTAGTATTACCAGGATGAGTTATTTCCCTTACTTGGGGAGGGGTTGATATTAGGTTGATCCTAAGAACTCAAGAATTCTCATATAATAATTCAATTCTCCTCATTCAATTAAAGCATAAATAAATAAATATTATGCATGTTAGTGTGTGTATCATCCATCATATACACACGCACACACACACAAACATACTTACAAATATCTAACTATATATTTATTTATGTGTGTGTATACATATACATACATATTTATTTATATATTTAAATATGTAATAATTGTGATAGGGGTATTTTTGTCTTTAGAATGATTATTCCATTTCTATTCCTTAAACCAACCAAACACTATTAGAATTCCTAAAGTTCCTCCAATGAAACAAACAATGAAATAAGATTTCTATTCCTAGTCTATTTTCATTCCATATGCAATAGGATTTCTATTCCCTCAAAATATCATTCCATGAACCAAGCTATAAAATTTCACTTATTAAATACAAAAGATAGAGGAATCGCACCAAAGCCTCCCTTCTCCATCAACTAGAGAATATAAAATCTTTTCAATACTGTAATAACACTCCTGAACAGCATAGGCCATGTATTCATCCTTGCATATTCTGCTCCAAAGATCAGCTTGGGTATCTTTGCAATCTAAAGCTAAGTCAATTGCCAGCAAGATCTGAAATAGTAGTTTTCATTATGCAGAGAATTCCAAATAATAATTGCTGAACTATTAGGCAACCAAAAGAAAAAGCCTTAGCAGCTACTACCTTACTACTGAGTAGGAAAAGTGGCCATTGAACTAGACTAAGACTTCCAGTGTTGCTGGGCATTGAAAGCAAATCCATTTCTCTAACAAAATACAGCACATAAAGAATAAGTTTTGAATTTAAGACAATTCTGAGAAAAAGATTCATATGAGGAACACATAGATCTATAGAAAGAAGGCTTAGGCAGCAGTCACTTACCTATTACTAATAAAATCTTCTTCGCGCAAGCTTTTGATGATCTCATTCCAAGATGGAGAAAACAACGCTGCATATGCCTTGCTGTTATCTTGAGAACTCTGTAAACACAATGTATAAAAGAAACAATTTATTTCCGATGTACCCAAAAAATAAAAGAACCATAAAGTGTGGAGGCTACCAAATCTCCCAGACCAAATAATAACAATAACAAAAGACAACTAAAAAGATAAAAGGAAATTGAAAAACTACAAGGATGAAGAAAGTAAAAGGCCAGACCTGTGAGGATTGTCCATCAAAAGGCATCCTGTAAAATCACAAGTAAAATGTTTCACTATATAGACTGGATATCAAGAACACACTTCTCTCAAAGATAAATATGTAGCATTTAAAGTGACCAGAATGAGAAGAGTACCACAAAGTGAATTCATTGCAAAAGGATGTACTACCTACTGCTGATTCTATTATTTCATAATAACCATCACCATAAATATAAACCAAAAAAAACACAAAAAAAAAAAACAAAAAAAAACAAAAAACAAAAAAAACAAAAAAAGTAGCATCTACTCTTATCCTAAAATTCTTAATAACCCTTCTGTCATTAGAACAACCCACAATCGAGATAACAAAGTAAAAAGCATAATGAAGCAAACTGAGATGTTGGACAAGAAAATACTTTATGCACTTTCCAACAATGCATTTAGTCAACAGGGGGAGTTCTAATTGGGAAGAGGCAGAAACAATTAAACAACTATCAAGTTAGTCAATCTCAAGATGATGATTACCTCTTTGCCTCAGGAGACACAAGATTATTGACAAATGCTTCAGGAAAGCTCTCAAAACGTTTATGAACCATTGCAATCGAACGTATCTGGGTAAAACCAATTTTGGACAAACTTCAACTCACGTAAGCATAAAAAACAAACAAACTCAAAAAAAAAAATAATAATAACAGTGAACTGCCGCTAATTTCTGAAATAGGTGAGAGCAATTTAAACCTCTCCTAACCGAGCCCGTGCTCCAATTACACCACCAACAATGGCAGATAGCAGAGTGTACCATATGTGAATATCCATGAGATAAATCTAGAGAAATAGAGAAAATCAGTGCTTGATAATGTGTATATAGTATATACATGAAAGAAGATTCAAGATCAAACTGGAAGAAACAGAAGAAAGAAAAAAATGAATCCACATTGTCATGGAGAATTATTAGGATAACAGTGCCAAGCATTGTAGACTTGTAGTACTTGAAACCATTACTATTAAAAGGAACGAAAATTAGGCTATTAAATTCTGATAAAAAGTAAGGATTCAAGACAAACCAAAAGCATGATAGGCATTAAAATTATTTGAATTAAGATATGATATACTCCAAAATTGTGATTCTTTGACTAACATCATTCACGTCAATGATGACGCACCTGGTACCAATTACATGTGGATAACAATAATGTCAGAAAAACCCCAAAATATAGATAATGGTACAACTATCACAGGACCAATGTTCAATACACTAATGTTGTATGATATTCTAAAAGTTGTAAATTTCTCTGCATTTAGGGATTTTGTTCTAGAATTGTTGCTACCTATACCATTTTTTTTTATGCCATCTTAGCTAAAGTATAATAGATGCCAAACAAAAATTTCTTCCAGGACAGAGGCCTTTAAAAGTTATGTCAAGGTAAGAAATATATTTTATAGACTAAAAATTACACATACAAACTAAGAAAAAGTCAGTCTAACAGAATGTAGCAAACCAATCCATAACAATCACTTACAGCAATAACAGGAGCCCACAAGCTGAGAATGGTCAATGCATTATTATTATCTGCCATTAGAAACACAAGTTATCAGGTTTCATTTTTATATCCGAAATGTTTCATAACTAGAAATAGGAGGTACAAAACAGGTAATAACTGTTCATGCTTACAGTGAAGAAGCTTTAGTTAAAAAGAAAAACAAACAACACCCTAAGATAGAAATATCTGACACACTGTGCACACTCCATTTATTTTTCCTAACCCCCAAATTCAATAGATAACATATATTCACTTTTAATGTATATGTTTTTAGTTTAATTAATTAGAAGCAACACCAATTCATTATGAATGCTGCATTCAAACAATGTACAACGGTATTTGCAGGTGCTAAAGGACATCACTGGATGTCACAGAACCCCAATATGGTTTGATTGGTTTCTATTTGGATACAAGGTAAATGCATTTTACAGATCCATTATAATACAAAAGAGTATTAAAATATCAAACTATCTCAACAGCAGAACACATCTGAGAAGTTTTGTTCCAATGCAATTGATGCTTTGTATCTGCATCAAAGAATAGGGCAAGAACAGGCATTTGTTTCTCTAAAGATTACTTGTTACCAAGCTATGTTTTACAGCATAATACTTTATGACAGTCTAGGATGGCTTTTGTTATTTGGAATATGATGTATTTTACTAAAAAGTACCAAAATGAAGTGCAACTTACTCTTTGACACAAAATCATGCCATGAGTACTGCAACGAAGGAAGATGTATAATTATCCTAGTAGGCTCAACCAAGGGTTTAATCTGCAATCATTAATTGACAAGTACATAATATGTAAGGATCTCAAAAATCAAGCAAAGACACCAGTTGCAGGGAAAATGTAGTGACTTGCCTGAAGGAAGTAAGCAAAAGTAAATTTGCAAATGAAGATCACCAACCAGTAGAGCACGTACCTGCAGCAATAAAATACAATTTAAACAGATAAAACAAAAATGTAGACAACACAAAAGTTGCCCCAAGATCAATATCAGAATACCGAGTAACACACAAAAATCACACTATAAAGGATCAAAGAAATTCAGTTTACAATCCCTTATAATGCACACAAATGAGGCTTTACATGCATAATATCAGAAAAAATCACCAGAAATCAGACACAGAAAAACATTGGCAATGATAGTGAGGTATCTAGGATCATAAATGTCATTTTACGAAAGAAATTTCAGAAACTTGTAACAAAGATGCACACAAAATTATAGATAACCAAGCACATATTTTCTGACAATGAAGCACCTTGGACTGAAGGAATATGGCAAAACACAGTAAACCCACACAAATCCAAATAGCTCTAAACTTGTATTTCCACACTTGTCAAACTTCATATTAAATCTGTAGCATAATCTGGAAAGTTTGGTTCCTTACTGCAACTGAACTTTTTTCATTAAGGGTCCATTCCAAGTAAATTCTTGATTATGACAGAATGTTTAAGCTTATTATTAATCTAACCCTCAATGTTTTAAAAATTTTCAATTTGATTCTTAAAGTTATAATTTGTTTTTAGTTTAATACCCATTTCTACATTCCACTACAAAATAAAACAATGGGCAATTGGCTTTACTTTTCCTCTCAGTGGGGTCAGTTATTGTCATTTAATATCCAAACAGCCCAATGAAAGTGACACACTAAACACATATTTTGAACAAATTAGCAGATACCAATTTCATATAAATGATTTAGACAATATACACATAAAAGACTAAACTAATATCAAATTAATGACAAGCTAATACCCCCGCCCCCCACCCCCAAAAAAAACCTCAGGTTTGTGCTACTTCCCAGTCCCAAATTCTTTCTTCTTTTTCCTTTATTGGAAATTAGAAATGGAAACAAGAAGAGACAACCTTTTAATGTAAACTAAAAGAATTCTACAAATATGTAGTAAGGTTCAGAGCTCATTTCAACTACAACCTTCACTAAGGGCACGGTTGGTTCACGGAAAATATTTTAAGGGAAGTGGAATTGAAATTCCATGGAAAAACAATTACTAGGAAGATGAATTTCATTATTTGGTTGGTGGAAATAGAATTACTGGGAATACTAATTCTATTGTTTGGTTAGATTTGGAATTGTAAGGAATAACGAATATAAAGACCTATATGCCCCTACAAATTAATAAGAGTAATATAATTAAGAAAGAAAACAAGGGTAAAATAGTCAAACCATATCACTTTTTCTTCCCATCTTCCATGGAAATCAAAATCCTTGGTCCAACCAAGGATTTTGTTATTCTCAAATTTGAGGAATTTGAGAATAAATTCCATGAACCAAACACCAAAAAACAACATTTTCCTCCACTTTAAGGAAAATATTTTCCTTTGGAAAACATTTTCCATGAACCAAACATCCCCTAACAGAGCTAAGCAGCCTACTAATTACAACTACATTCTTACATGTATAAACTAATTACTTGTACCCTGCTGCCTTAACAACCATTGTTGTAAAGATGGACTTTCTAGGCAAGATGCTACCGACCGCCTAGTCAACTAGGCGATGAGTGTGTGTGTGTGTGACTGTGTGTGTGTATATATAAGGGCAGAAGCCAAGAAGAAAGAATGGCCAACCGGCCAAGAAAGAAGAACAGGAAGAAAGAAAGAATGGCCAGTCGGCCAAGAAAAAAGAAATGGAAGGAAGAAAAAAGAATGGCTAGTTGGCCAAGAAGGAAGAAGAATGAAGAAAGAAGAGGCTACCTAAGAGGGCAGAGTCAGCGCTGCGAGGCTACAAGGCCACGAGGGCAGACGAATAACTGGAGGTTCGAAGTCAAACAAGGCAGAAGCGTTTGGCTAGGGCTTGAGAGTGTTCTCAATTTTAATCGCCATTTTTTTCTTTAAAAGAAACAAAAAACATAAAAAAAAAAAATTAAAAAAAAAAAAAAAAAAAAAAAACAGTTCGGACCTGGGTTAGGCATCTGAGGCGTCGCCTGGACGCCTAAAGCCCTAAACGACGCCGGAGCTCGCCTCACCTGTTTTAGGCTAGGCAAGCTCGTTAGGCGTCGGGTCTTTGTTTCCTAATTCTTTTTCTTTTTTTTTTTATTTTTTGAAAAGTACATATTTTCCTACATTGTCAAAGTGCCCAACTTTTTCTATTCAAGTGACGGTTTAATCTGTGAATTCTTATTCCGGTTTTTTATCCAATATCAAGAACCATAACTGAACCTTTGAAGCCGGTTATGACTATTGTTCGGTTTGCTTTTGGATCTCCCAATAACATCATCTCATAAAAATTCTACTATTTTTGTTCTTAATACTTTTACTTTACCCTCATTACCACTCCAAAGTGATAGTAGATAACTTTTGATCACTCACCTAGAGGCTAGGAATACATAATTTACTGCTAAGAAAAATTATTTTCATAAGAATTTGGGCTAGGAGAAGAGTGAAAACTCCATGGAATGACTGCTAAGGAGTCTGTCCGAGTTCAAAGACAGCCTTGATTGAACAGAACAATAGTTTCATTGTCGAAAGGAAACCATTTTTTAATTAAAATAGTACAGTACAGTAATTAACATAAAGTGTATCTTCATGAAGAATTTTTTGAACAAGTAACAGTGCAAAAAAATTGAAATTTGAGAAGAGAGAGGACAAACTTTATATAGTCTGTGCTCTTCTCAACTAGGCCACGGCCAACAAAATATCGCTCCTGAAAAGAATTAATAATTCATTACTTGAAATTGTTCACGAGAAGTAAGGAGACAGTTTAAATGTTGCATGATGAAGAAAGCTACCTGATAAATCCACTTAAAAAATTGAAAGAATGATTGATCAGACATTTCCGAAAGAGTATGAGTAGCAGGGAACTTGGTTAGTAGCGCAAACACTATACGTATGCCTGCATATACACCCAATGCAAGGACGTATATGCGAAAATATAATGAGTCTGAGTTGTTTCTATTCCTTTCCTCTAAAAGCTTCCTGTAATTGCACAGCATCATAAAATAGTGTTAGCTTTCTTAGAGATGCCATTTAAGAACCTATGATTGAAGGTTAAAGACTCACAGATAAACATAGGTCACAAATGCTGAGGCAAAACCAGTCCAGAAAAACCTTATAACAAGTCTTGATATAGCCATGCCTCTTGCTGTACTATAAGCTCCAAACATAAGGAGAACATCTAAACAGCCTAGACAGACAACAAACAGAACAGTGAAAAGATGATGAAGAAGAAAATGAAGTAAGAAAATCATGTTTCACGTTTTATCACTCCATGATAAATTAGGACAACTTACTCTCTGTGAAATTCATAATTGCAAACGTTGGACCAACACTAAGCAGTGTTTTAAATGTGTAGAGATTTATTTTCTGATCACTGAAGGCCACAATAGTCAAAGCCTAAGCAACAAGAGGAGCAGATACCAAAAGGTTATGTTACACTACTTTAGTCAACAAAACTAAGGTTATGTTACACTACTTTAGTCAACAAAACTAACATAAAGGTAAGGTCACAATATTATGCTTGTACAAATCTGTGCAAGATACATAATATAGGTACTTGCCTGGAACATAACAACCAAAAATATCCACAAACGATGAAAGCTTCGGTACAAGTGTAGAAAAGTCCTATGTTCAACAAATGTGCTTTTACCAGTCTGAACAGTTCAGAACCAATAACAGCAAGGCAGTGTTAGAATAAGAAAGAACCTGATGCAGCAAAATTAAATCAAATAACAATTGAATGATATTCAAGATGAAAAAATTAAGTGCACAAAATCAATCAGTACCTTGAGCCTAAAATTTTTAAAAGTCACTCTAAAATATATGCACAATCTCAACTTTTCATCTTCAAACTTAACATAGGATCATCATGAAATAATTCATTTATTCATATCAAGTAAAAAGTATGATAGTTCCTAATCAGGCTTCAAGAAGTGCAATTTAAGAGAATAAAATTATTATGCAGACCAGTAATAAAAGTACCAAACAACAGTACTACAATTAAAATCTTGCAGTTGGCAAGATTCAGTGAATAGAGAAGGAAAACTAACCCTTTTCCCTTTTCTAGGCCACAACAAAAATGATGAACCCTCCTTAAAAGGCCAGCCCAACTCAAAGCATGCAGGTGACCTGCAGAGCAGTAACCACTAGGAATGAAATTGCAGCAGGAAGTCAAAAGTATTAGTTAATGATCGCAAAAGATTCAAACCAAAAGTATTCATTGAAGTCATCATAATTCCGCCACTTTGAATGTGCAGCTTTCCCATTATTGTTGTTGGCAACTTCCTGTGTAGAAAAAAAAATGATAAATGACACTAAAGATTGACAAAAATTAAAACATGAGAAGTACAATAAAGACTAGATCCACATAAAGTATGTCAACAACAATTTTCTTAATTTTCCAACATTAAAAGGTGTAGTTCTCTAAAGAATAAACAAATGTGTTTTAGAGGGTCCCATCCACTTATGCCACAGATATGGATGCAATCTAGGGAAAATTTCAAGAGAAGAGTTAAGGAAAACGGGAACACATAAACAATATAAAGGTCAAAGAAAACACTAGTTTTAGAAAGTTCCTAAAAATTCTGTGGGGGCTGTAGAGTGTATGTTTTAATCCAAGCTGCTTTTAATCTTCATTTGTAATTTAAAGTAAGGTAGAGTGTATGTTTTAATCCAAGCTTGGAACTTCCAGATGTTCAAGCTTGCGGGGGAGTGTTGAAAAATAAAGAGTTAGGTATATCTATAGGGTTGTGTATATTTATGAATAGGTGTCAGTTATGAATAGTTACTTACAATTATGTGTTTGTATATATATATGTACTATGTTTCTTTGTTAGAAACAGATAGATAATACAGAATCATACATTATCTATACATTTTCCATTCCTTGATTCTTCATTATTACTTCCGCCTAACTGGCGGGTGGTGGTGCTATTCTCCACCCGCCAGGCCATTCCATCTTCCAAATTCAACATGTCAAAAACCTCAAGAAATCCAAGTGAAGTCTCCCATTTACAAAAATGGATGTGTAGTGGTTAAATTGCTTTAGTAAGTTTGAAAGTGTCATGGAAGAGAAGTAAGCTAGTGTCTTGGTTGCAGACTCTAGTCCAAAAATGTAGTCATAATGGCTATTCTGTGAATTGTGATAATCAAGATGTGCTTCTCCCCAGAGTTATGTAATAGGCCTAATAGGAGTAATTCCTAGATCTGTTTTCACTCATTCCCTTAAGTACTGTTGAGAGAAAGGGTTTTTGTATATCTATGTAGTGGAAAAGGTATATACAGTGCCCAATTTACATGGATAATGATCTAGCTGCCCTAAGCTATCACTGACTCTTACACTACAAGGATTAGCATTCTAGATTCAACAATTCAATTTTCAATGGCCTCGACTTATTTTCATAAACAGCATTCATCATTCCTGAAGTACTCTCCAATTCTCTTCATTTTCCACCTTCATGGCTTCATGTACATCAAAGCACCACCCACCCTGTTGGACAACATTCAGCCCACCTTGTGTAATATTTTCCCAGTAGACAACAGACCCATAAAGTGAACAAAAAAGTCCAAAATCATACCAGTCATCCAAGAGTAGTTATGTTGTGCATACGGATGCAAAAACGACGTCGTTTTATTAAAAACGCGCGTCTCCCCTTAAAAAAAAAATTCAGGTTCGATTCTCAGCAACAACATTATGTTGTTCATTCATTCTGGAATTTTAGTTCATAGATTATGGAATTTTAGTCCATTGGTTCTGGAATTATAGTTTATTGATTCTGGAATTGTAGTTCATCGATTCTGAAATTTTAGTTCATAGATTCTGGAATTTTAGTTCATCGATTCTGAAATTTTTAGTTCATAGATTTGATTCTGGAATTTTAGTTCATAGATTATGGAATTATAGTTCATCGATTCTGGAATTTTAATTCATATGTTGTTGCTGGGAATCGAACCTGAATTTTTTTTTTAAAGGGGAGACGCGCGTTTTTAATAAAACGACATCATTTTTGCATCATGGTGCATACGGATGCACAGCATAATTTGCCGTCATCCAAGCTTTTGAGATTCTTGCAATTATTTAAGTCCTCTAACCTCTATTAAGCACAAGAGCCAGTAGCAACTAGCAACAAAAGATTAACAGACCAAAGAGGAAATGTATTTGATAGGTCAAATACAACCCCAACTAATCAAAGCAACTTACATGCTATGGGGCATCAATTGATTAATCTAGCCAACAAGAATATGAAGAAATAATTAACCTAAATATGCTATAAGCGTACCCAGATAACTATCGCTAGGTTCAGGATGATCAAGTCTTGGCAACAAGCAATCAATTATAAACTCCATTTATCCACTCTAGCATTCTACAGGAAATGTGCTACAACTTAATTAGCTATGTTTTTCAAACCATATCTGGAACAGTCACAGACTCACACCAATACTAAAATTTGTTCTTACAATTCAAGGGCATTAAGTAGAGGTGTCAAACGGGCGGGCTTGGACCGAACTGGCCCGGCCCGCCATTGGCCCATTTATTTTTTGGACCGGGCCAAGTCCGGTCCAAAAATTAAAATTAAAGTCCTGCCCAGTCCATAGCCCTAAAAATAAAAAATAAAAAAATATTAAAATTTATAATCAACTAATTTAAGTTATGTATTCCTTCTAAATTAATTGTACAAGTTCACATATTTATTTTCAACTATTTAACTTAAGAATTGTTACAAGGAAATAAAGAAATCAATAATTAATAATTTAATACCATTAATAAGAATAAGTTTACAAAATTGTAACTACAAACTACTAAGTAGTAAGAGTAATTTTTCCAATTTGAAACAAATAAAATTTTACAACTTCAAAATATTTTAAGGTAGTAATTACTACTTAGTATGCTAGTTAGACAATTAACTAGCTAAATAGTAAATACGTAAGAATTTAATAGGCATAAAATCAATATTACAGTTTCTAATATGATAATCTCATAAGTCATTGCTCTATTATATAGAGTACTAGTATTTTATATGCGCAATGCGCAAAAAATATATGCCCAATATTAAAATTAAATATTAAAATCATAGTTATATTAATTTTTTAAAAATAATAGTGTGTGTGTGTGTGTGTGTGTGTGTGTGTGTGTGTGTGTATATATATATATATATATATATATATATATATATATAAAATTGTATAATTCATATTACTATTATTGAGGTAAGAATTATAGAAATAATAAATTACTAAATATAACTATGGTAATATTTTAATTAAAACCTAAATGAATTCAAACTTACCATTGAAGGGTGAAAGAAAAAATATTGTGTATGCATGTACATGGTAATAATAATGTAGTACAACATTTATAGCATAAGGTACAAAAAAGTTTAACAGAAAAAACGGACATAAACCAGGGGTATAACCTGGATTGAAACTTATTATGTTTTTAGATATATATGTAGTAGATTTTTTAAAATGCACGGACAAATGGGCCGGGCCGGTCCATGGACCAAAAATTAAAGTCCGGCCCTGTCCGTAGTATAAAATGGGCTAGCCCTAGTCCGCCCATTGTAGCAAATGGACCGGACCAGTCCAGCCCAAACGGACCGGGCCTGGACTGGACTTCGAGCTAACCCATCCGTTTGACACCTCTAGCAT